CCCAGGCTCATTAAAAAAATTGTGCCTTAGCTTACATTTTTTCATTCATTAATTTTTCTTCAGCTTAGTTTCTTATTTATGAGGGGTCACCACAGCAGAATGAACCGCCAACTATTCTAGCATATTTTTTTACGCAGTGGATGCCCTTCCAGCCACAACCCAGTACTGAGGAAGCTTACATTTTTAACAAAATGTAAATTATATTGCTCAGGGTATGTTTCGTTGCACTTTTCAGATGACAAATTCACTTGAAGGCGCTGTCTACATTTTTGCGACTGAAATGCTTTCTTAGGCCAGTGTTTCCCAACCGTGTTCCTGAAAGCACACCAACAGTACACATTTTCAACCTAATCAAACAAACTTGAATCAACTTATCAGAACACAAGAAAAGACTCCAAAACCTGAAGTAAATGGGTCGGATAAGGGAGACCAAAGTATGTACTCTTGATGTGCCTCCTGCAAACATGGTTGGGAATGATTAAGGGTATGTTTTGTTATACGTGTGTAAGTACGTTTGATCTGACCTAAACACTAAACATCCTAAACCCAACCAATAGTGTTTTCAAAATCAAATGTAAGTGAAAGTCTATCGCAGCCACATAGTTTTACCTCGATTTTGCAGTGCTTTTATCTTTTTTGTGGAACCATTCTTCAGTGGACTCAAACCCGAGTGCTCTGTTTGACTAGTACAAAACCATACAAAGTAAGCTACTGATCAAAGTGACCATGCTGGAAAAGTTGTTCATATGGAGATAGACAGGTGAGGCAAATGTATTTGATTAAAAATAATAGAAACCATTAAGTTGTTTAGTGGTATTTATTTGATGTTGGGCAAATTACTGCACAAAAAAATCATTTAATCCATTAATAATATGCCCCTTTAAATAGCATTAGTGTGAAAAGAAACAAAAGCTGTTGGCATCAATTTGCCTCGTAGTGTTCATTTGACCAAGAAACTGCCTTCAAACGTAAGCTGAAGTATATTTTTGTGGTTTCACAAAAATGTAGGATGAAGCACATTTTTTTCCAATGAGCCTGTGTTGGATGGTTATATCCCAGGCAGTTTCACAAAAATTGACTGATTCTGAATTTTTCATATAACCAATTATCATTTTTGAGTTTTGGAAGTATTTTGCGATGAATGGGAGTTGTTGCACAATTTCAGTTTGCACAATTTAAAGGATAACAGAAATGCAGTTATCGTTTCACTGTATAAAAAGAAAAGAATGAGACCAAACAACAACAAACCACTGAAAACTACAGATGCTCTCGTTGACGATTGTCATTTGAGAGTGATTTAAATGAACATCAGCTTTTTTTTAAAACAAGTACAAAGACTTTTTAACTCATAAACAGAAAAAGCCAATGGACAAAGATGATTCTTTCATTCAGTCAAACACCCAGTGAAGTGTACTCCATTTGAAAGTGTGCATGAACACAGACGCTCGACACATGCAAACTGTCAAAAGGAGAATACTTAGCTTGAAAGGCTGTGTGTTCGACTGTGAGCGGTTGCTAATGTATGCATATAAAAATAAAGTATTCTTTGGGCTTGACGGTTTGCTGGAGGGGAAAGAATCAATGTCTTGCTCTCAATTCAGTGTGTATTAACTGCACAAGTTTGCCTGAAACCCGATGATTATATTATCTAGTCTGATTAGACAATAACCCATAGGGCATATTCAGTGCTTTAGTGGAAGAGCAAATGATTTCACATGATCAATGTTGCAAGTGTTATGAAAATGAAATTATTTGACTAATGAGCAAGATAATAGAAAATAGCGCATGATGTATATTATATCATATGGAGATCAAATATGTATGTGCGTGTGTTTAGCAGGTGATTTTCCAAATGTCTCTGAAAGATGTGACTGGTGGTAATGGATGGCATTGATAAAAGTCGCATTAAGAGTTTTCCCTGTAGTAGTGGAGATGGAAACTATACCTCCCTCATTTTTTATTTGCATTGAATTTGCCTGTGTGTGTGTGCTGTGTGTATATGCAAGAGGAGACATAAAGTTAAAGGAAAAAACAAGGAAAGAAAGTTAGCATCGTTTTTGGGGCCTCTTTTGACCTCTGTGTGCTAGAAGATGCTGTGAGAGGCAGCGGTCTCTAAGGGCCTTTAATGGTGAATGTGGATCAGTCTGGAGTATCTGGGTTGGAAAGTGTGAAAATGTGAAAGTCATACCTCTGCTAAATGCATCCTTCTACTTCTGACAAACATCATTTAGATCAAAACAGACCTTTTCTTATGGAAAAAGTAGGATATAATGGGATGAAAATGTCTAATTGCTTTCCTATGTTCAGTGCCATTAGTTTAATTTCAGATCCTTGAAAGTTTTTTTAATGTTTACTGCAAGCCCTCATCTAATTTACCTATTTTCACATTTAAAACTCAATCATCTAGCTCTGTTGAATATGAAAATTAATATTGTAGTTCTGGCATTCTGTGCAAGACAGAGCGAGATTCAGCATGACCTAATCTTTTACACACACCCTAATATTTAATCAATTTAATACAGAAATGCTTTGTATGTTTAGCTTTAAGTAGATTATGAAATTGGTCAGCATTCAAAATATTTAGGTAATGTGGAAGTCTAAGCTTCCATTTGGACTTCACCCTCTGCAGATCAAGGAAATAACTGTAATACTTATAATGGTGGGAAGATTGCTGGCAATTTTGTTTTCTCCTTCTGAGTGTGTCAGGGCAGGTTAGGTAATCTCTTTTTCCTTAGTCTTTCTCAGACTTAGTTCCACTTGTGACTTTTCCAAGGTTTTGTTTTGGTTGAATGTTGTTTGCACCTGTAGGTCTTCTGCGGTTTAATCTGTTGCATGTTTACATAAAGCTGAAATTAGGTTTCATTACCTTGTGAAATAACCTCATTTACAGTAAGTAGCTTTAGATGTAGCTGATATTTTCTGTTCTACTTAAACTCACACTAGCATTTTGTTTTTATTCATTAAACCTTGTTAGTTCATTTATTCATTTTCTTTTCGGCTTAGTCCCTTTAATCAGGGGTCGGCACAGTGGAATGAACTGCCAACTTATCCAGCATATGTTTTACACAGCAGATGCCCCTCCAGTTGCAACCCAACACTGGGAAACACCAAACCTTGTTAATCTTAATAGTCATTTTTTCTCTTTATTATTTGTTTGTTTCTTTTTTTCCTTTGGCTTAAATCTTGCCAAAAGGTATACAGTGCTCAGCATATATACGTACACCCCTCACAGATCTATCTTTTAAACTGATATTTTTAATAGGAAGCTATACAAGATTATATTTGTGCATATGCATAAGATTAGTCAGTACTGAAGCCAAATCTGGAGCTTTTTTAATAAAATAACTTATGATAACGACACAAAAACAGACAGTACAGACAATTTATGTTATAGAAAAATATTAAATACAAATTTAAAAAGAGGAAAGGAAAAATAAAGAGAAGCCAAAAATTTTAAAAATTTGTTGAAATTTTGTTGGCTGTAATTTTTTTTTCGCAATATTTTGCTTGAATTTTGTTTTAACACACCAAAATACTTTGCCTATATTTACTGAGAAATGGATAAAAACATTAATTTTCAAAATGGCGTGCACTCAGTTATGCTGAGCACTGTATATATTCTGGGATTGTCATTCATGTCCCACCTTAATTTAAAAAAATGACACTAGGGAAATTAGAGACATAGATGTCAAATTCCTACAGATTCAAATTTCCGAACAAACTGCTCTGGAGCCATGTCAAAAAAAAACTGTAGGTCAGTAAGATTACTAATTAGCACGGTGGCACAGTGGATAGCACAATCACCTCACAGCAAGAAGGTTGCTGGTTTGAGTTTGCATGTTCTCCCCGGGTTTTCTACAGGTGCTCTGGTTTCCCCAACAGTCCAAAAACATGTGCTATAGGTGAACTGTATAGAGGCTGATTTCTATTTCTGCATCAAGTGCACGCATATGCTAAGGCGCAGCCTACGTGTGGTCGCATAGCCCTCGTTGGCTGTTGAAAAAAATGTAACTACACTTTGCAACGACGCGTTGCGCAAGCTCTGTGATTAGTCAGCTTGGTAGCGCTGATGAATGTGGGTGGAGGTGTGAGTCACATGGGCCCAATGCAGCTTGTGTTTACAAGTGTTAAGTCCTGTGAAGGAGCTCCGGATGGAGACTGTTGTTTTGTGTTTACCTTATGATTAAAGTTGTTGCACGTCCGCTGATTCCAGCCTCGAAATGAGCGAGTTTGAGCCACTTGTATAATAAAGTAGCGTTTAGAAAAAACAAAACACCAGCAAAGAAACTTGATACAAAGGACCATAAACACATACTGCCAGCTAGTGTTTCTAAAGTGTTATTGCAGAGCAACACACACAGCGCACAGAAGTATAAATGCACGGATACAAGGGTCATGTGAATTACTGTGGGTCACGCCGATCACTTTACGCAGAAGTATAAACCAGGCTTAAGCTTTAGTGTATGTGTGAGTGTATAGGTGTTTTCCGGTGTTGGGTAAAGGGCATCCGCTGCATAAAACATATGCTGGATAAGTTGTCGGTTCATTCCACTGAGGCAACCCCTGATTGATAAAGGGACTAAGCTGAAAAGAAAATGATTAAAGATTACTAATTGCCATCTTTTAAAAATTGTTAACTGTCACAAATGGCCTCTTTTGAAAGTCAGGATTGTGTTTAACATTCCACACCTAGGTAATATGAAGTTTCCAAGCGTGTTGTAGTCAGTCATCTGGAGAGATTTTCCTCTCTGGATAAAGAACAGAGAAAAGAGGAGAAGTAAGGGGCAGATGGGAGAAGAGAAGCCTGGGTCAGTGGATAGACATACCGACAGCAATACGAGTCATTTCTCTCGTGGCAAGATAGAACCTTTTTGTTTTGGCTGTGAGCAGAAATCCTCTTATGAAAAAGACTGTGAGAGAGAATCATTTTAACTTCATCTGTGTGTGTCTCTCTCTCTCCTTTTCTCTCTCCCTCCCCTCTGTCCCGCTTTCTTTCACAGCGATGGCCTCTCCTGTGCAGCTGTTCACGAGCTTGCCTCATCTGGACTAGGAGCGGAATTCATCTGACACTCACACGGACACGCACACACACACATCTCTAAAAGAAAAACACACCGCGTAGCCATGTACAGCGTGGAAGACCTTCTCATCTCTCATGGATACAAAGTCCCACAAAGGAACAGCAACAATGTCCCTGTTTCACACTCGTCTTCCCCCCAACCCGCAACCTATGAGAAATGTCTGCCGACACGAAGCGACAGCCGGTGTGAAATCGCTGAGAAGCGGAAAGGACACAGCGGCGTGAATGGCTACGAGGGGGACCATGTTTACAGCGGCGGAGGCATCAGACAAGCTCCTGCCAGGGGATTCCCCGGTGACGCTGAGAACAGGGTCAGGAAGCAGAGGACACAAGATGTGGACAACGGGAATCTAGGAGATGGACGTTTGCCAGAAGACAGCCTGACCACTGACAGCGGGTGAGTTGTGTTGATGAGTTGTTTTTGACCTCTTTGTCGTCTTCCCCACACTCTTGCATCGCTGCTGTCATTCCTTCTTTTTCAACTGTTCCTTTGATCTGAGGTTTAAGCTGTCTTGCATGATGAAGAGTGTTACATAAAGGTAGGAGCTGTCAAGGACTTCCCTTTCACATCAGGAGAGATCCCAGTTTTCCTTTTTTAAATGATCCCTCCTTGTCACCTTTCACTCTTCATTCTTATTTTTGGTTTGCACTTTCTTTCATCCTGTGAAATCCATATCTTTGTACTTCCTATATTTTCATGTACTCTGTTTCCTCAGTCTTACTCATTTCCCTGCACTCTTCCCTACCTCTCTCCCCCTGTAGCTGATGAATTCATTAACTATGTTTAGTAGATTTTGCAGTGCGGTTTTATTTCCTTCTCGTTTCACATGGGACTGTAGTGGAATAGACATCAATGTTGTCAGAAAGCTTGCAGCACCCCCTGCTGAGTGTGCTTAGTTCTGCAGGCAGAGCCAGCAGGAAACTACATGTCCCATGAGCCTTTTGTCAGATCAATATTCCATTCCTTATTACAATCTCTTATATAACACTTTTATTAATAAAACATGATGAATATAAATGTGCGCATCTGCATTCTACCAGCCATATTGTCGCAGGACGGCGTCAAAGATTATTATTATACTTTAAATAAAGATGCTTCACAACATGTTTTTTTTTCTTTACCAGGTAAGTTATAATTGTCCTGTGTTAGAGTCTCATTGAGATAGATAGATAGATAGATAGATAGATAGATAGATAGATAGATAGATAGATAGATAGATAGATAGATAGATAGATAGATAGATAGATAGATAGATAGGTAGGTAGGTAGGTAGGTAGGTAGGTAGGTAGGTAGGTAGGTAGGTAGACAGACAGACAGACAGACAGACAGACAGACAGACAGACAGACAGACAGACAGACAGACAGACAGACAGACAGACAGATAGATAGATAGATAGATAGATAGATAGATAGATAGATAGATAGATAGATAGATAAAAGCACATTTATTTGGACATTTATTGGCATACTATCAAGCATTAGTGCATCTTTGCACTTTCAAGTAATTGCTTGTCACATGATTTGAGACTCAGCAGTTTAGGGCAGGAGGCAGCTCCACTGCTGTGACTAGATTATCCTTTCATGAGTGCAGGTCAGGATTGTTTAACATGCAGATCATATGCTCTCGGCTGCCAAGATATTGAATGAGAGAACAAACCTTTAGTGCTGACTCAACGGTTTGCACCACACAAACTAGTCAAGTTGCTTCCTTAGAAAATATGCTTATTTATCATTGTTTGTTTTCACTTTTAAAGCCTCCTTTGAGGTCTTCTGCTTGGTTGACAGCATTGTCAACATGCACATTTTTCTTTAAGCTGGGTGTAAGTTTGATGTTTGCTTCTTGTTTAGCACTGTGTGTGTAGATTGTTATATGGTTTAGCTTGTTTTGCCAAGTTAACTGGTATATATTTTTTGTTATACTGTATGAAACTGTGCACAATTTGGATTGTGACCACCGGCTTCAAAAAACACTTAGTTTGACATTTAGAGTCAGTAAGTAATTTTCATTTACTGACCTTTTAATAACTTGAAGTTAATAACATAATTAAAAAGTACATTAATATATTTTTAGTAACAAGAAGTTTAAAATCCTATACACTGCCGGTTAATGTATGCGTTATCAAATATAAGCATTGACCTATATTTATTAACTTCCATCTATATGTGTTTGATGCAGGTTTTTTGAAGCCCACAGAGGAATACACTCTCAGCCTAGATCTGAGCAGGATGTGTCCTACTGGCGGAGAAGAGGTCAGGACTTTAGTGTGCTTTTGGATTATGCAGACTTCAGGGACCCACGTGGAAGTGGAGGAGGAGGGGTTGCAAACAAACCAGAGGGTATGCAGCGGAGACCCGAATCTGCCTTAAGCACAGAGGAGCATAACCGTGAAAGACAACGGCGGGCTGAGAGCGCACGTGCCAGAGAGAGAGAGATGGCCCTACACCAGTGGAGAATCGCTGCTGAAAGGAAGTACCAAAGTTTGGGAACAGAGGAGTGGCGTCCAATGACCAGCATGAGCCGCCAGCCATCTGAAAACGAGGTGGCACATGATCAACGCAGGCCAAGAACTGCAGAAGGAGCTGTTCCACCTAGAACCAAAAACAAGTCGCAGTCACTGCCCAGAATGCAATCTGAAAGCCTCCAATACTTCAGCATACCAACTGCTGGGCAAGATTCTTATGGGGGTTTTAAGTTAAATGGCCACCACATAAGAGACCCTCATGGACGACATATTGATGGAGAGAACAGGCAACGTTGGACTGACCGATCAGGTGCCCAGTCTGCACCATTATCAAAACCCAGATTCAGCAGACCACTCAGACCTCCTTCTTACGAAGCACACCAGCAGATGCGTGGGAGTGCAGAGATGCTCACAGGGGAGCTCGCCCCACGTGCGAGAGACAGAACTCCGCTCCCCTTCTCAAGGCAAGAATACTTTGTACAAGAACTAGGCGGCTCTGGCGCAGAGCCCCCTGGTTACATCCCCCCTCCATCCTACAGAAGGCAGCCTGTCATTAAAGGAGGGCACAGAACTTATCCTATCTCAATGGCTAACCATCAGTATAGAGGAGACCCATATATGCAGAGTTCTGCCATGACAGAAGTGCAGGAATGGTTTATCAGGCAGACCGGAATGGCTTGGCCAGACCATTACAGAGATGGAAGAAGAAGTATGCCCTGCAGGAGACAGGCATATCCAGGCTACAGCGAAGAACGGATGGGGAATGTTCAGTACATTCCCTTTGACGATCCTCGTGTCAGACACATTTCAGGAGCAGGGATAGATGGGAACTCTCTGACAGATGCAGACAAAATCAGAAACATCAGAAATGAGATTCCAGTCAACCTCATACCTGAGAAATCTAATGACAGTGCCTTGCCTTTCACAGAGAAACCCTTTGACCGCACAGATCCAAATAAAAGCAATATTAGTAATTCGATTAATGAGGACAGCATGCACAAAGAATCGTTGAAGGAGACAGAATGTTCAAACACAGTACCTGATCAAAACTGCAACAGGCATCCAGTTACTCATGGCAATATAGTTGCTCTTCAAATGACAACACAACAGAATTCAAGCCTGGGTTTGATTGAGACAGTGACACAAGTAAAGAAATTTGAGGCTAAGACTGTGGCCGAGAACAAGAAAAACTCAAAGAAAAAGCTCAAAGAGACAATGTTTTGCCTGGTTTCTGTCCCTATCAGTATGCAAGCAAACAGAAGTGTCTCTGACCCAAATAACAATCAAAAAGTGATTAGTTCACAAGATAACACAGGGGTGCAGCAAGATAACCAAAACATGTTAAAAGCATCAAGCAAAGAGACACATATACAGTCCAACAGTTCCCCCTCCATTAGAAATCCCCCTTTGAAGAAAGAAATCACAGATACCAGGTCACTAGATCCAAGCCAAGACAGTGAAGTTTTTTATGCAGGATCCTGGCCTGGAGATCAATACCGAAACCAGGAAACTCAGACAGGCTCCCCAGAAGTTTCAAGAAATACCCATTCATCAGCAAATGACCATCCCTCCCCTTTCACAATCACCAATAATGAAGGTGAAACCAACTGTAGTGCAAACTATGGATACCCCATGATAGGCCAAAAGGATCTTAACCACTCCAGCAACAGTGCATTCTCCAGAACTGTGAATGGAATTAGTGTAAGGAGCCCACATTTTCCTCGGTCCGTATCACTTCCATCATCCCCAGATCATCAACCTTTGTTGAGAAAGTCTAAACAATCATCAGAAAGTCAAGAGCTTTTTGGACAGTTTTTGCTAAAACCAGTCAACAGAAGAAAATGGGATGCTATTGGGGAGCTGGAATCTTTTAACAAAGAGATACAGGATCATACTGGGAAGTTTCCAAATGCTGAACAGAATACAAAGGAACTTGATGAAGCATTGAACAGTGTTTTGGAGCTGAGTGATGCAAGCAACAATTCAAAACAAGAAACCCCCCCGCCTCACACGAATAAGGAAATTGACCAGCAACCACATGTTGTGCAGGTCACAGATATGCAACTAAAAAGCAATAACTTAAATATAACATCCCATTCAGGTAAAGGAGGCCACCCTGAATACAAAGGATTAAAAAGTTCCTTGTCCAAGACTAAGGTGAACTTTGACACCCACACACAACAAATCCCTGTCAGCAAGACTGACAATTATGTTAACTTTGACATTCTGCAAAGGGGGGACAATGATCCAGTGATGCATCGGCAAGATATCCCTGTTCCAAAGGAGTGCTTGCTTAAGGATGTTGGTTTAACAGTATACACTGCCATTCCAGACACTGTGACCTCTGGATCTCCCACATGCTTGAGTCCTGAGTCACCTATGCTAACCAGCCCTTCAGACAACTCAGAGATGTGTGAAACCCTGCAGATTACATCATCAGACAGTAGCGGAGATCTTAGCAGACACAGCCCTGAATTTTCTGAAGGTACTCAAAGCTTGAACAATAATAATGCATTTAACTCCAAAAAACTCAAGAAGGAAGCTGGGAGAGGAAGCACAGATGTTATCAAATCAGAAAGGTCATCGCGTATCCATGTGATCAAGAGTCTTCACTGTAGGTTTAAGGCTAATTTTGAGGATGATGATGATGAGCATTTTTATTCAGATTATCTGAGCTGGAGTAATGAAAAGACCTTGGCAGATGAACATCTTGAGACTCTTTTGAGTCAAGAGAAGGCCAACAATATGCAGACCGAAGACCTTAGTAACTTGTACCAAGTCCAGTGTGCCAAAGGCATTCCTGAAAATGAGTCTATTGAACAGCGTGCTGCCAGGATACTCGGCATTTCTGTGCCAGTTGAAGCCTTGGTTGTTGATCAAGTTGATGGCAAACCATTAGAAAGGGATTTTAAAAACACAGATGCTACAGTTTTGGAAACACAAACCAAAGAGATGAGCTTAAATGACGAGACACAGAATGTTTGCAGAGAGTTTGAGGAAGTGCCAAATAGGTCTATGGAAAGTCAAGGACATGCGTTAGAGGTAGAACTTGGAGAGGATCCAGAGTCTACAGAAGATTTATCTAGTGCTGAGAAGCACAGCCTAAGAGTCTCCACAATGTTGGAGCTGCCAGAGTTTCCTCCAAGTAACTTATGCTTGTCGCTTCCACTGACCGAGGATGAGGAATTGACTCTTAGTGTAAGTGGGGGAGACAGGAAGGAGACAGTTAATGCTGAGATAACAGAAGCACCACAGGACCAGTTGCAGGCATGCTGCCTATCTTCTCTGTCCCCCTCATCCACAAATGACAAAGCATCCCTAGAGTACAATGTCTATGCAAAGGAAGAAAGCTGTCAGCCATTAGTGAGAACTGTAAACAGGATCACATTGGCCAAAGAGACAGACCAAGAAGAAGAAGAAGGGGAAGCACTTCAAGAATCTGCTCAAGAGGAGGAAACACTAGTGGAAGAGAAGCAATACAGTGAGAATGCAGTTGTCATGACCAGTTATATGCAAGAAGAGAATGAGGAAACAGCTCAGGAAGAAGTGTCTGCTGAGGTGCTTTTACTTGCAAGATCAAGGCAGTCACCAAAGACTATGGCACGTCCAATCCCACATCCCCGCAGTGGCATGGTAGCAAAGAGAGAGATCACACTGCCACAAGGGTTCAACTTGGATAATACAGTGTCTGCAATAGAAGATGATGACAAGTTATTTATTTCAGGTCTGTCACCTATGCCCTATTGCATGCTTTTACACATGTACATTATTTTTGTTTATGTTTGCTTCCACAAGGCAAAATTTCTGAATGCTCCAAAACTTGTCACATGCAAGTATAGTCACTGGTCAGATTGCACTGGTTTGTTTTCTAAAATTTCATTTACATTAGTCATCAATGAAAATGGATAAACAAAATCTCCAAGACAATAGAGACAACATTGGACTTTTGTGGCTTTTTTGTAGCTGTCATTATATATTAATTTATTATTTTAGAGAAAGAATCATGATTTTGTCTGTATTTTATCTTTGTATTGTCTTGGACAGTTGTTTTGAATTATTTAGCTTTTGCATGCATATTTTTTCAAGTTCTAGTAAAACATCAGCATGTGCTTTCAGATAGAACTGGATTTACTACACAGACTTGTAGTACACTGATAAACTATACAAAAATCAGTTTCAAAATATTCTTTTTGTGATAGCGACAGTTGTTGTGTAACTTCTCAATGAACTATGGCTCTGTGTTAATTTATAGTTAATGCTGCATGTAAAATTACAACACATGATAACACATTTTTGCTCAAACATCACTTTATATCTTCAGTTTTAACTAAGTCTTTACTGTATGTGAGATGATTTCAAAGTAGTGTTGGAGTAGTTATGGATAATCAATGAAGGGGCTGCACAGTGGGTAGTGATAACAACTTACAGCAAGAAGTTCACTGGTTTGAGCACCAGCTACTGTAGGTCAGTTGGCATTTCTGTGTGGAGTTTGCATGTACTCCCTGTGTTCGCGTGGGTTTCCTCCAGGTGCTCTGGTTTCCCCCACAAGTCCGAAGACATGCACTAAAGGTGAATTGGGTAAGCTAAATTGTCTGTAGTATATGTGTGTATGTCCTGGTCCTGAAGGTTGAGGGTTGAGCGTTGGGCTAACGGCCCACCTCGTGAAAATTAGATGTTACAAAACACCAACATGGTGTGGCTGATTTATACTTATGTGTCAAGCTCACTTGTATGCTCCCGCACAGCCTGATGTGGTAGCATAGCCCTTGCCGTGGCTGTCGCTGATGCGCACCTCTCAAAAAATGTTACTACGCGTCGCAACGACACATAGCGCAAGCTCTGTAATTGGTCGGCTTAGTAGCACTGACGAGAGTGGGCGGGACCGAGAGCTGCATGAACCTATTGAAGCTAGTGTTTACAAGTGTCGAGTCCTGTGAAGGCGTTCAAGGTGGAAAGTTTTGTTTTGGGTTTACCTGAATAAAATTGTTGTACATTCACCGGTTCCCACCTTAAAATGAGCAAGTATGAGCCACTTGTACATTAAGGTAACATTTCCGAAAAAAACAAAACACCAGCTAAGAAACTCGACACAAGGGAACATAAAACCTCATTGCCAGCTAGCGTTTAGGAAGTGTTATAGCAGAGCAACACAAACAGCATGCAGAAGTATGTCAACTTCGATATAAACAACCCTGGGAGTATGCAAGTAATCAATGAATTCACTGAAAACTTCTGTTTATACAGAAAGTCATTGGGGATTTCCTGGGTTTCTTCATAGATTTTCACAGGAGCACCCTCTGCTCACATCATGTGATCATATGACCATGAAGACGTTTATGACAATTTGCAGCTTTGCATAATTGCATTTGCGATTTCATTTGATCAATCATCCAGCCCTACTCGATGTTAATAACTCATGGTAAATTTTAATAAAGTCTGATTGATGATCTGCTGAGCTTTGAACTGAGCTACAGGAGAAACGTTCTGAATCAAATTTCCCAAACAAGCCAGGTGTGAAAGCATCATTTCTCACATGCAACATTGATTAATAAAGATATTATTGATTTGTCTTTTAAATCAATGTAAAATGTATTATAAATGTGTATATACATCTTGATTTTCTCAGCCATGTCTCAACCAAAGCATTTTTATGCCACTGAAAATACCAGGGCTTTTCTAAAAATGAGAGTGTTTCTGTGGAGCAGTGGCTATTTTTTAATTGATAGTAATATGCTTTGTTTGCAGTGAAACAGAACATCTGTGGCACTCTTCCCCTATTATACAAATGTTTTGTATCCATTTGAAAAGGTTGGCTCAATGCTGGACGCTGACATTAGGTGCAGTAGTGTTGTATTTGTCCCGCCTCAGCTTAACAGTGACTTGATGGCTGGTTCAAAATGACAACGAGGAACTCTGTATAATACCAATGCTGTCTAAACAGTCTTACTATTTGTAACTGTAATTTCAACGGCAGAATAGATTTTATTACAAATTATATTGTACAAATTGAAGTATTAGATTTTTTAATTAGTTTCCTGTTGTATCAGGTTAATGTTACACATATTCAAATAATTCTTTATCCCACAGTCGCTGAAAAAAAAGAACAAAGGACCTCCTGCTTTTTTTCATGCAGTGCTCCTATAAAGTAAGAACTGAAAAAAGATGCTTGCCTCAGGGATAAAATGCTTTGATGGACACATTTTAACATTTGTTGGTTCATTTGTTATTACCAAACACTTTACTTCACCACAATAATATAGAATATCCTCCAAAAGTCTAGCATTCCTATATATGCTAGTATAGTATGGTTGTTAGTATTTTGTGAAGTCTGATTATGTAAAGCCCATTCCTAGGAGAGGTCACCTTCAGCATTATCTTGTATTGCATGGCATACAGTAGGTTAAATGCATTGGTGTGGTATACAAAAGAAAAAAAGACAATCAGCTTGCACTGGGAAAAAAAATAGATTGTTTTTCCCTCCCGGCATATTCTGTAGCATTATGAGCTGCCAAGCCACAATAACAGTGCTTAATACTCAAGGGCAATGAGCAATGAGTTTTTTCACCACAAGAGGGAAGCGTGGTCTGATTTATCATACTGATTGCCATCACAAATCAGCAAAGAAAAGTTAATGGAAATTTTAATATATATATATATATATATATATATATATATATATATATATATATATATATATATATATATATAAATCAATGGGGTATATGCACACTGGACTTTTAATTTCAGTCAACCTGTCAGGGCTTCCGGTGAATTGTCATCCCATACAAAATCGTCATGTTTAAGATCTGATTTCTGTAAAAAACTGTGATCATTACTGCCTGGCTGAGGTAGGATAGAAAGTAGATATTAGACCAAACAAGAAACACTGCATTAAATTCTATTTTTTTGGTGCCATGTCTTTAAAGTATGAAAATTAATTTTACCCCAGTATTTTCAGTGGTGTTTCTGCGCTAGCCTGTTGTTAATGACGCTGTGTGTGTTTAAACGGTTATTCGTCTCTCTTTACGCTTTTACCAAATGGATGCTGAAGTCTATTTAACTGATTATATTTGAATTACATTACAACATCGATGCTGTAAATGAAACCTTATGAAATTGAAAAAAAGTCACATAAACCTTTCACCGGATGTTCATCATTGGATTAAAACCTCTAGCTGTGCATATATCCCATTCTTTTCTATACTACGCTGTTTTGCAAAAAAAAAACAAAGTGATTTTAACAATGTTCTGTTCTTATATATGTCGTGCTTAATGACACTATTTTGAATGAAAATCATTAATGTAATTTGCATTTGTTTTCAGATGCGTATGACCCCAGTCGTGTGGAGAGAGTCTGAACTTGGAGACTGTAAGAACAAACCCTGTGACCTTACTGGAAAACAAGATGTAGGCTAAAACCTTTCACTTTACTAATATACAGTCACAGAAGTTCATAAGCAGGCGTCATGCCGCACATTTAAGACTCATTTGGGGAACTTCTATGACCTGGAATAGCTATGGTGTCTATCTATGAGATTTGAATGTATAATGTATATCAAGTAAAGCTCAGATGTTACACATATAGCTACAAATAGACTTAATAATTTTCTAAAGTTTCTCTGCACCAGCAAATGCTGGAGTTCTGTCGGACTTTCACAGAACACAGTGTCATTGTGCCAACAGCGACAAGACAGACACAAAAGCTTGCACTTCTCATTTTCGGCAGTATTACCAATGAGAGAAAGAAGAGAGGCCTTGATGTATCAAAGCAATGAATTGGACTGGCGAGGTACAGTAGCAGCAGAATCAGTGACATTACACTGTGCTTTTAATCACAGAGAAATATTTTTGTAAGGAAAGTGGGACCTGGGAGAAACTATGAATGTCACTGTGGTAAAACTGCAATATAAAATCATAAATATATATAAATACATATATATCTTTTTTTCTTCAAATTATGGATGAAGCTGCTTTTATGCGAATAGGGCAGCTAAAAAGAAAGTGAGGCAAAGATTTAAGGATATTTTTAGTCGAACCTTGGTCTCTTGGTTAAACTTAACTGTAGTGACTTCATTAGTTAGTTATTGCTTTAAAATGATTTCCTGCACTCAATCTCATATGCAGTTTCAGCTTTTCAAAGTAGCAATTCAATATCATCTCACCACAGAATGCAATGGGGGAAAAAATAAACTAAAAACGTATTTATTTTTTATCAAGCTATCAACAATCTGTACAGATGAAAATATATTCCACAAAGTATTTTTATTTTACCTCGTGAGTTTGTTTGCTTGCTTACAATCATTATGGATATATCATGTATGAATATGTCTATTAGCTTCTATCATTCTGGCCGTGATCGTGCCACGTGGCGTGCTTTTTGGTGCAAAATTGTCAAAAAGTGTTACATGTATTTCTTTATGCACATATGAAGTGTTCAATCTCAATTCTGAAAGCGTATACTCATATTGTGAGTAAACCTAGTGCTTGTGAACTAGTTTGCGATTGCTTGGTTACTTTTCTTTTTGTTTTCAAAAGAGATGGACAAAGGTTTGTCAATGATTTTCTATCACACAACATTTATACAGTAAATGCAGTCCAAAGTGCACTAAAATTAAATTAAGTGTGAACAAAGTGATTAGCACATCTGGAAACTGGGATGAAAATAGCTTAAAAAAGACATTGATTTCATTTGCTCTGAGAATGGTTAGCGTTATGGGTAAAAAAGTGCTAATGCCATGATGTTTTAGTAATATTTTCCAAAATTTTGCATAGCTATAATACAGTTCATGCCGTTACATGTTCTGTTGTTAGCCAAACAATAAGGCATAGCATTCATCACACTTACTTTTTGTAAGTTGGCATCAAATTATTGTTGTAAGTAGTCCTTGATTGTCTATACCATTTTGTACAATTTAGTTTTTTCAAAAACGGATGATTATATTGTTGCATATAACGTATATGGCATTTAATATCTTTTTCTATTTTCATACAGAAACTGTACATGATTATTTTGTATTGGGTTGGAGTTGATTTTCCTTCTCTGCATGAGATAAGAGATGTAAACTAGGGTCAGGAAAATGTTTTGCATACAAGTGCATTTGGTACTACATTAAATATATATTCACTATATTACATTGTGCACATTTTTATTCTGCTAAAAAAGGCTTTGGGCAATATTTAAATTCTAAACAAGCTATTTTTTGAATATTTTACTGAAAGGGAAGTGTTTACTGTGCACCTCAGTACTTGTGTTGTTGAAGTATTGGGTGAATGAAATGTTTGAGAGGAATATTGTTTGTACATTATAGCAGATTGCTCATTAATAAACTCCTTGCATGGACTATTGTTTTTATTTTCTTCTGTTGGTTCATTTTTATGTGTGACAGAAAGGAGAAGCAATCTAAGAGCTTGTTTGCTCTTTAACAGTTTTAAAATGTGGAAGACGTCAAACACAAAAACAATTCTTGCATTCTCATGAAACAAATATGTTTCTCTCACACAATACATTCAATGTGTTAAAAAGAAAACAAATCTATAAATGATAATTAGTCACATTTGTTGTACAAATGCTGAGAATAAAGAGAACCTTTTTTTCATTAACTGAAATTTGTTCTGAATGTTCACTCAGAAGTCTGAAGGTTTTACCATACTATGATTTACTTTAAAACTAAAGACTGTTTATACTTAATGATTTGAGAGCATACCGGGAAAGTCCACCCAGAAATGTAAATTCAGTTATTATTTACTGTCTTTCAGGTCATAAGAATGTTGACAACCTAAAAGCCTTAGTTCCAGTGTAAATTAGGTGAAAAGTAACAAACTGTTTGGTCTTGCTTTGAAATGATAGAAGGGTGAGTTCATGATGACAGTACACTTTCTCTTTACGTAAAAATATTTCTATTTTCTCAATAGATTTGCCAAACGCTTTCGGCTTTTTAAAGTGGCTCTAAGTTTGTGTACTAAAACCTATAAAATGTGCATTTATGATCTTTCTGGGCACAAATTACATTTACATGTGTGTATTTGGCAGATGTTTTTTACCCAAAGCCAATAACATAGCATTGAAAGTATGCATTATTATCAGTGTGCTTTCCCTGAGAGTGGACTCACCACACTGGCAATTTTACAAAGGTTTGTGTGGAATTTATAACAAAAAATAATAATACAGTTCTTTGCATTTTGCTGCTACTGTATGTTGTTGCGGACTAGTCAGAAATCCTTATTCACAGTCAAACAAGCCTACAATGGACGGACAAGCATTGGAACTTGGACATTGGAGAAGGATAACAAATTTGCCTTAATTGTCCTAACATACACTACAGAATTGAGCTATATCACTAGAAATGGTTCTTTAGCATTTAATCATAGTGAAACCACGATTATGTAGCACTTTAGAGGTTTAGTTCCCACCAAAATGAAAATTGTCACAATTTACTCATCTTTTTGTTTCAAACTGATTAGAGTTTCTTATTCTTTTTTGTTGTTCTATTAAATACAAAAGAAAATATATTGAAGAATTTTGAAATCCTGTAACCTCTGAATACCATAGTATTTGTTTTTCCTATTATAGGTGTCAATGTTTACTGGTTTCCAACATTCTTTAAAATATCTTAATTCGAGTTAATCAGAACAAAAGAAAACTCACATTGGTTGGGAACCACTCAAAGATGAATAAATGATAACGGAATTCTTTTTTTTTTTTTTTTTTTGGGGTAAACTATGCAATTTCTAGACATGTAATGTATTCTATAAGAAAGAAAAATGCTAACTTTGGCTTTCACTACCACAGCAAATTCCATTTTTTCTTTTTAATAGTTGTTTGCTATGAGTCACGGAATGGAAATAGTGCTTTATTTTGCAAATATTTTTTACAGTTTGTCCCAAGGATGCTCCGATCAATCGGCAGGAGTTCCGTATCGGCTGATAATCACATTTTATGACTTGATCGGTACTCGCTAATCTGGTTGTTCCCATAAACTGATAGCAAGTGTGATTGTTTATGAGTTTACAATTACAGGAAAACGAACCTACTCACTCGGGTTATACATCAGCAGCACTGAAATCTTTTTAATGTGTTTTATTTATTGTTAACTGTACAGCTGTTTCTGACCATGACATGTATAAACTAAATGATTTTAAGAGACGTGTGTAAATGCAACATGTTTTATTTATTCTCTTTGATAAAGAGAAAACTCCACTTAAGTGTCATACTTGGACACTTTTTCGTGTTTTTTTTCGGCAGCTGGTGTGCCAGAAAAAATTACATAAAACAACGGCCATTAAATTACAGACATTTACTGTCAAATAATGGCTGTTATATTACAGATATTTACCATAAAATAACAGATGTTAAATTACAGACATTTGCCATAAAATAACGCCTGTTAAATTACAGACATTTACCGAAAATAACGTACGTTAAACTACAGAAAATTCCTTACATTTAAATTTCTGTAATTTACCATCTGTTATTTTACAGTAAATTTAATGGCCGTTATTTTATGCTTTTTTCCGGCATCCCAGCTGTCAAAAAAGGGGGGGAAATATCGGATATTTTTTTATTTTTTTTGGTGTTAACTGGTCCCTTTCAGCAGGATAATGCATCCTATTCCATTGCACTTATTCTACAGAAAATTGAGATCAAGGAGAGTTCAAGGTACAGTATTAACCTGCCCTCCAAATCTAACCAGATCTCAATCCAAGAATGAATCTATGGGATGTGCTGGACCAACAAGTTTAAGCAATGTCAAATCCACCTTAGAAACAACAAGGATCTGTCTCTAAAGTCATGTTGCCAGATACCAAAGGGAAGTCCATATCTCGGCACATTGGTGCTGTTTTGGCAGTACACAAATTGGGCACATATAGTTACATATTCAATTCAAATCTTTATTGCTACAGTGTTTTTAAAATGTAGGTTGTGTATGAGTATTGGTGCAATATGGTTGTATTTTGGCACTGGTAGGCGTGCCTTAGTGTCCACCATCAGTGCTGACATATAGCCATCTGGCACTACTCATGTGATATTGCTCATATATTAAATCATTAAGTAATCATCAATCAAATCATTAAATCTGGTAAGTGACATTCTAAGTCAATCTCTCTCTTTTGTATTTTGTAGTGGTGTATATATGTCACAGAAATTGGTAGTGTTTGCTTTGCTCTGGCTTTTTTGGGGTTAATTATTATGATATCCTTATTGCAACAGAGAAATACTGGGAAATCTCAAGCCTTATAATCCTAAAATGTTAACAAAATCACCTGTTTGGACATTACTTTAGACATTATGCTAGAGAATCATTCAAATACTTGTTCTAAAGTGACATTTGTGAATTGGCAATGGTTTCTGCTGTTCTGACCAGGGCCATATGGCCAGGCCCATAAATTTAGAGGCCCCCTAGAGACATTATGAACCCACGCTCTTCACTTCCATCCGCCATCCCCCCCTCTCTTCACTTTCATCTGCACCCCCTCCCAACTCTACACTTTCATTTGCGATCAACATACCCCCCCCCCCCCCCCCCTTTCATCCGCGATTCCCCCAACCAACGGGTCTTCATTTTCATCCGTGACACTTCGCTTGTCAAGAGGGCCTGTGGTGGCCTGGTTCTGACATCTGGTTCTGTGACGCCCCTGGTTCTGACATCAGCTGCAGATGTGAATGAATGGCGGAAGAAAGTAGTTCCTCGTACAGAAGGATTTTTGAGACTCTTTTTATATATTTTGTTTTTTATATACACGATTATGCCATTGAACTATTCTATAAATACAAAATCACACTCGTAGCAGTGCAATGTGGCTGTATACTGTATATTGGCACCAAATTACACCTCCCACCAGTGCTGATATAAAGCCATATTGCACTGCTACTTGTGTGATATTGCTCATATATATATATATATATATATATATATATATATATATATATATATATCGTAATGGGTGTTTGGGTCGTAATGTCCTTATAAAAAGGATAATTTACTAAAAATATGAAAACTTACACATCCACATATAGACAGAAGAGGACAAACTTTTTGAAGAAAGTTAAAAATCATAGGAAAAACAATTACTATGGAAGTCAATGATTATTGGTTTCCAGCTTTTCTAAAAAATCTTCTTTTGTGTTTGGAAGAAACTTAAACAAGTTTGGAAAAAGTCAAGGGTGAGTTAATGATGAATTTTTACAATTATCTCTTTAAGCCATTTTGGATCTATTATCTAGTTATGATTATCATATTGGTATGAGGTGCAAAGAGGATGTGACAGTGTGAAATGAAATGAGCAAATTAAGCCTTCAGCAAAAAGCAGTTTTGACATTGCCTCTAGTTTGCCTATGCACTTAAACAGGTAACATGATGTGCAATTAGTCAAATTCCTCTGGAGATTACGGACAGAAAAACTAAACTAAATATTCATGTTTCTTCTCACCGCCGAGCGCCCAAAGTGGTTCATTGTAAATCTTTCAGCTCTCTCTCTCTGTCAGTCTGTCTGCCTTCTTCTCATGCCCCCTCTGTGTTGTTTCAAAAGGTCAGGAACATAAATCGCCAGCCAAGTTCAATTACAGTCACAGGCGAAATTGTCAGTTGATGAGTGTTTGTGGGTCTGTGTTTGCGTCTCAAGTTACAGAAAGAAAAGGTTAGGCTAAAGAATTACCCTTCCTCTGACTGAACCAGAGCCAGTGGCCTTTTCCACGACTGACCCTTAGTTGAGCATTCAGCTGGCAGCGAGCGCCCATGAGCTCATTCCAATTAAAGCGTCATAGTAAAAAGCCTCTTATTGTCTGTGTGTAGCTAATGCATTTGATCTCACCACCTAACTGACCTTTCAGAGCAATCTCAGATCATTCACTCACCACTGGCAATTGAGGAACTACTTATTGTCAGTACTTCAATCCAGATCTTGATAGTAATGCAACAGAATCCTCGCTATCCAACCCAGCAAGTTTAGTGTAATTTAGTTCAATTCTCTGCTTAAATGCTTTTAATGTTGTATTATGGCTTGGTTTCTTGTCTAAAAGCTCTGGATTAAGTTTAAAGGGATTGTTCTTGGGACAAGGCTGGATGGTTTACTCTTGCCAGAGTCTAGCTGGTAGCCTGGTAGCCTGGTTTAAAAATAACAATCAAACTGTGTGATGCTTAGTTTACATGTCTTTGGACTGTGGGATTGTTCAATTCTTAGGCCCCGTTTACACTACTACGTTTTAGTTTTAAAGCGCATAAGTTTTGCTACGGTAACACCTTCCCTCCACACTACCTTAGAGTTTTTGAATAGACCATTTTTGTTTTAAAACACTCTGTGTTAGTGTGAATGGAGGAAAACAGACATCTGAAAACGGAGGCGT